GGATGGCGTGGGTCACCAGTTTGCTGCACCACAAAATAAGAATATTCTATTTCCTACTGCATTTCTCTCGATTAAAATCATTAGTGTCTCAGTTTCTGATGCCCACAGCTGTGACCCTAACTCTTTAGCCTCTCACCTCCCTCCCCACATTCCCAGCTCCTCTTATCCCTTCTCATCCTGGAACATTCTTCTACTGCTTGAGTCTCTGTTGTCCTTCATGTAGAATAACCCTGATGTCTGTCATCTCAGTCTGTCCAAAGCCCTGGCCAGATCCTGTCTCATGAAATTAAACCTCTGCTGCTCTTCCCTAAGTTGTATTTTCAGTCAGGGGACTCTACCAGGGATGTCAGTCCCTGCTAATAACTGTCAGGGTGGCATCAAAACCTGGCCAGAGGCGAGCAGCCCTAAGCCAGGAGGTGAAATTGGCTCATCTGAGGCCCATCCTGTTCCTACCAGAAAGGCCTTGTCTGATACATAAAAGAGGAGAAGGAAAGAGAGTGGGGAGAAGGAAGGAGGAACAGTTTTTTTTTCTTTTTTTTCTTTTTAAAGTAAAGCTGTTAAACTCAAGAATCTCTATTCCTTGCTCTTCTCTCTGTTCTCCTAATGGCACAGAGACACCTGTGAATGGCCAGAATCCATCTGGCTAAGTGAGTTTCTGCTTCTGTTTTAAACAGTGTGGAGGTGGATGCCTGCAACACAAGGGCCCCAGAGATGCAGCTCCAAGACAGCAGATCCTGGACTCTCTGTGGGTCAGTGTGGGTTACTTCAAGCATATTTTGTGCCCCCAGGAAATACAAAGAAGCCAAGCCTGAGTCCTCTGACTTTCTAATCATGAGATAAGCCTGTCCCTCTTCCTGGAGGAGACCTGGGCTGACTTCTCCAAGAGAGCTGCTCCTTTCGTCCCCTGTGCCACGTGGTTCTGCTTCTGCTGGCACTTTCTGCCTTGACCTTTTTCATATGGGTGTTTTGGGCCGAGTTCTCTGGGTCCTAAGTTGGTGCATTCTGTTAGCTCAGAGATATATCCGGCCACAGCTCCCTACTTATAGTGAAAACTAGAATTGGCAAAATTACTAGAATTGCGGCATATATCAAACCAGTGACATTTGCAGACTCTGCATTTGAGGACATTCAAGGACAAACATTCTAGTTCAATCCATGACACTATTCTGAGATAAAGCTGACGTTCAGAAGATCTGTTGTTCACACTGGCATTTCCAAGGACAATACTAATTTTTCCTGCTGAGAAACCATTCATTGCCCTAGATAGATTTACTAAATATTTCCACAATTACATAACTATTTACATAAATATTTCCTTTGCTTCCTTAAAAGACTTTCTTTTTTTACATTTCTGTGCTTCCCTCAGTAACTCAGCCTTTTTCAAAAGAGCGAAGAGTTACTAAGCAAAGTAAGCGAAGCCTCATTTACGCTGCCTTGACTGCAGGATAGAAATCACTGAACGCTTTCGCTGGCGTCTCTAATCACCATAGCCTCTTCAGTGCTGGCCCAGGCCTTTCTGTTTACTCAGGTCTCATAGCAAAGAACACTACAGAGGTGAAGAGTTGCCTGCATTTCCCCACCTGCGAAGTTTTCTGTTTTCATTTTTTAATCCTTGGCTCTAAATGCATGTGGGTGCAGCTTTGATATCTTATTCATCAAGCATGTGGTGTTTTAAAGTCCCATTTCTCATAAACCTTGTTCATGGTTGTATCCTCTTCTGTTATTTTTACTCTCAGGACGAAAATCCTCATACAAAAATCCATTCTAATCCAAAATACCTTGGAGACCTGCTGCTGACTCCTTAGTCTAAGCAGGAGATGTGATGATAAGCAGAGGGATCGGAAGGACTGAAAAGTTTTACGGATGTTGTTTTCATTGGTTTATATCACGTGGTCATCTTAAGATAGTGGTAAAAATCACAAGGCATGTTCTCTCTTTAAACTTAGTAAAGATGGCCGCCAGTCATATGGCTGCTTCCATCCTGATGAGGTCATCGACCAAGATGGTGGCAAGCCACATGCCTGCTATTTACTGCAAGGTGAATCCATCAGGTACACACACCCCCAGGAAGGCTTAGAAAAGCAACAGGCTCCAGCAGGCCAATGAGAGGGACAAAGACAGAGTAGACAGATCCTGGGGGGAGATGGGGAGATAAGTAGTTAGCCTTGGATAGAGACAGGGTAAGCTACAGGAGGGAGCTGAGAGACAGACGGAGAGAGCTATGGGGGAGGCAGCCAGGAGCAGCAGAGAGGCCCAGAAGGGTGTAAAGAAGTTGCCCGCTATGACTTTTGTAGCAGCAGCAGGTTCTAGGAGCCAACAGAGCAGGCAACTCTGTGGTGACACAGGAAAGAGCAACAGCAAGGTTCCCCGTCTGCCTGCAACTGGTAAGATTAATGGGAGCCCCCAAAAGGGACAGATACAGTGTCAACAAATCCAGGACACAAATCAGTGACCACCAAGACAAACCAGATCCTGCGGATGCCTGGTATTGTCCTGGCCACAGCCAGACTCTGGAATTCTCACACTGCATCCTTTTTTGCATGAATCCTCCTGATTGTCATCCCAGACAGAACAGAAACCTGAAACAGGCTTATCTTTAACCTGAATCCTAGGCTTATCTTACCTCTGGAGGTCCTGAAGGAGGCAAGTTGGTGAGGGGTATCAATTCCTGAAGCTGAGGAATGACATCACAGTAGCCTCTGCTAGGACTGGCAACCCTTAACCTTGCCTAGGAATAGTTCCACTCCCAGGACTCGGAGTCTTATCAGGAATTTCAGTAGGACTCTCAGTGTTATGGATATATGAAGGGAAAAACTCCCAGAAGGCCTGATGAGTCAAATGGAGTCTTCATTTGCCAATAGTGGGGCTATTCTAAGCAAAGCAGTGGAAAGCAGCCTTGACCTCCAATTTGTTTGAGTTTTTAAAAGGCAAAACTGTGTCTGTGACAGATATACAGAAAGGCCACTCTGGATATCTACAGCAAGCAACCCTTGTTTACAGAAGCAAAACGAAAGCAGTCAAGCAGTCAGGCCATTCTCATAACCTTGAAGTCAGGGACACATTGTATAGGAATTTAGGGATGCTCTCAGTGACCAGGGACCAGTTTGTCCAAGATGATTTTGGCATTTAAAGTTTTCTTATGAATACTTTCACAAGATGGCAAAACTATAGTTCAGTAACCCAGTACAGATTGGCAAGCAGGAGGAAAAAAGGATTACCTGGTAAGGGTGGGAACCTTTTGAAACCTCAAGCCTGCCCGCAGTGGCACACCTCTTCTAACAAGGCCAGCCCTCCTAATCCTTCCCAAACAATTCCACCAACTGGGGACCAAGTACTCAAACATGAGCCACCACAATATACTTTCATATGTGGGACCGTCCCCAGGGGCATAGTTAAACTACCAGAGGCCACACTCTTAAGAAAGCTAACTCTTCCTCTCCCAGAAGCCATAACTATCAGTAGTTCCCCCAGGAAGAAGGGCTCATGGGCCCCTCCCCCTACATACTTGTGCAGACCCCAGCTGCTGTGAACGCATGTGTGTAGTAGTCCTGCCATGCCTGAACACACAGTTCTGCTCCGGTCCTCCCTATTTTCTGACTTCTACAGTCTTTCTGCTCCTCCATGGCCTTTGAGCCTTGTGGGGAGCTGGATAAATTCTTGAATTCTCTGTCTCGCTTTTATCATCTGATGACATGCTAATCCACTCTACCTGTTCCCTTCTAGCGTGATTTCTTGTTTCAAAGAATATGCCAACTTTTGGCTTCCAGAATCCCTATGGCTAGTGTTCCCAGTGTAAACTAAGATCTGCCAGCTGGACATAGCCCCACAGACCTCTGGATTCCGGCCTAGGATATGTGGGAAGAGAACTGGTGTATGAAACCCTGGTTTGGAATGGGTGTGAGTGAGAGCAGAGGTTTCGTGGTTCTGGAGTCAGTGCTGTGATCAGGCACATCCTGAGTCAGCAGACAGCTTCCTCACTGGGGAGCTTTCGGGTTCTTGTAGCAACTGGGATAGTTTGGAGCCAACATCTGTAGCAGAGGTTTCTGAATTCTTTAGGTTCCCAGCAGTGAAGCAGCAGCCCCTTGACCGTCCAGTTGTGCTGAATTGTCGAGGAGTCATTTCTCGAGGTCAGCCCATGGGCTTTCTGCTGCTCTCCCAGTAATGTTGTCAGCTGTCCCAACCATCTTGTGTCTGTTTTCTTAAAGTACTACAGTGATATATGTTCGCAAACCAACATCCAGGACAGTCAGCTTCCTCGTAGGATTTTCATGAGATTTGTATTAGTCAGCTTTGCATTCTTATAAGGATCCCTGAGCAACTAAGTTAAAAGAGAAGAGATCTGGAGATTCCAGTGCAAGATGAGGTGGTCCTGGTGCTTTGGGGCTCTGGCAGGGGTGGTGAAAGTACATAGTGAGAACACCATTTACAGCTTGAGCCAGGAAGTAGAGAAGCAGTGAGAGGCCTGAGTTCTGAGTTCATATATATATATATATATATATATATATATATATATATATATATATCTTTTATTAAGCTCTACATTTTTCTCTGCTCCCCTCCCTGCCTCTCCCCTCCCCTTCAACTCTCTCCCAAGGTCCCCATGCTCCCAATTTACTCAGGAGATCTTGTCTTTTTCTACTTCCCATGTAGATTAGATCTATGTAAGTCTCTCTTAGGGTCCTCATTGTTGTCTAGGTTCTCTGGGAAAGGCCACACATCCCACGGTTCTAGGAGGGAACATCATTGTTACCAATCTAGAGTCTCCTATGATTAAAATGGTAATGAGTCTTATACTCAGAGGACAACACCCTAGGATACATATAGGAAGGCTAGTTTTAATTCTCAATGCTTGGTGTCATCTAACCATAAGCACGAGGATTATCCTTTGCTATGTGGTCAAGGGCATTCTTGGCTATATGCCACACTTGGGTTAGTAGCTTAGTGACAGTGTGCATAGCACATGGAAGTCTCTGTGCTCATTAGAGAGGCCTGAGTTCTAAATGTCCTTCGAGGGTATGTCCCCAGTGACTAAGGACCCCCCCCCCCATCAATACCCTCTCTCTTCAGGTCTCATCACCTTCCAGTCACCCACTCTGGAAGACCAAGACTGTAAAGCACAGGCAAGACTTCATAAGGTGAGGCAAGTAATGCTTAAATTATCTGGCATGAATTCTCACCGGCTTAGTTCCTGGGGCTTTTGCTGAAGCCTTAGCCCATGGCACTCCTGCAGCAAAGACACTCATTTGTTGGTTCATCCAGTCATCTACTCACTTAGCCCGTAAGGAAATTAACATTTCTAAATATGTGTTTTAGTTCAGACATGCTCTGGTTGCTGTAGCTGAACATAAACACAATTGCACAATTGATGACTCTTGAATACACTTAATTTCTGTAGTGTGCCTGAGACAGCTCTAGCTCTGTTTATCTATATCTGTCTCCGTTTATATCTATATCTGTATCCCCAGCCCCTCTAAATACACTCGACATTCATTCTAAGGAAAGGTTGCTCTGTGTGTGTGTGTGTGTGTGTGTGTGTGTGTGTGTGTGTAGATATTTCAAACTGAGATACAATTTACCTAACAGTAAAGTACAACAAATGTTAAGCATTTCAGTTTAATATTTGTATAGACCCATGTATCATTGACCCTGAGCAAGATACAGAAAAATGGAATTATTAATAAAAAAATGGATTGTGTGCCTATGTTTGGGTGCTCTTCTTAGGAGCTAAGGTTTCACTTGAAGTTTTACCATTTTAGGTTTTTGTTGTTGTGATGCAGAATGGTCAGTATAATTGAATCATTTTTTTTCTTCTTTATTGTCCTCTTTAAGTTTTGTTATTGTTTTGGGGTTTTTTTTGTTTTTAGGTTGTGCTTTTATATGTGGAATACAATTAATTTAAGTAGGACCTTATGTTATAGGATGCTCACCAGAGATGAGCACTCAGACTTAATTTATAGCCAATTGAACATCTTTATTTCAGCTGGGACTACACCCAAGTGTTTGGGGACCTGGGTGTAGCCTCAAGTATCCGGAACACTTTTTTTTTTTTTTTTAAAGACAGAAACCATGTTCTGGCTGTGGAGCTGCGGGGACTTCACAGAAGGAAGTAAGCAGGTTTTTTTTTTTTTTAAGATTTGTTTATTTATTGTATATATAGTATTCTGCCTGCATGCATGTCCGCAGGTCAGAAGACAACACCAGATCTCATTATCTCATTATAGATGGTTGTGAACCACCATATGGTTGCTGGGAATTGAATTCAGGACCTTTAGAAAAGCAGGCAGTGCTCTTAACCACTGAGCCATCTCTCCGGCCCCTGAAACAAGTAGTTTTAACAGAAATTAAGTTATCTAGGACATCCTGACCTTTGTTCCTAGAATAGAGTTGGGTGATTTTCCATGGGATTCTCCATGACATGTTCTTTGTTCTTTTTGTTTCTTTTTTTTGTTTACCTAGTCATTATTAACATTATTTATTTATTTTGTGTGTGCAAGCACACATTCACACACATGTGCCACAATGCACATGTGGAGGTCAGAGGACAATTTTAGAAAGGAGTTGATTCTCTCCCTCCAGTCCAGCATGAGGACCTGAGGTCAGAGTCACAGCATCCATGTCTAGGTACGGTGGTGCCTGTCACCCCTGCCCAGTGTGGGGAGGAGAACAGAGACCGGGAGATCCCTCCAGATCGTCATCCCGCAAGCCTGGCAAAAGCGATAGTTCCATATTCAGTGAGTCACTCTGCCTCATAAAATAAGGTATAGAGTGATCAAGTAAGACACTTGACATCAGCCTACACACACACACACACACACACATACACACACACACACACACACACACACACACACACACACACCATCATTTACTCAGTCTTGGCTTGCACTTACTTCTCTGCTGCCTGCAATGCTTTTTTCTTAGGTTGCATTATGTAAATTTTAATTCTGTTTGGGGCTTTTCCACAGCTTCTATGGTACAGAAGGGAGAGCTAGAAGTTTCCTCAGACTTGCAGGTGAGAGGAGAGAGGAGGGCCCAAGGAGTCTCTATTTCCCACTCTCATTGAGCTTGTTTAAATTTAACTCTCCACACAGTTCTGACCCATCAGCAGTCCTGTGACCACTAGAGCTTTTTTGCGTCCTGGGGGAGGCAGAGGGGGCAGGGGCTACAGGGAGAACAGAGCGTTGCCCGATGCCTGCTGCCCCGGTTACTCTCCTGTTGCTGCGATGTCTGCGCTAACAAAAGCGCCTCAAAGGAAGGTGGGTTTCTGGGATACAGCCCATCACGACAAGGACTTAAAAAACACCTGCTCCCATTGTGCCCGTGGTCAGGAAGATGCCAGCCATGCTGGCATTCAGGTAGCATCCTCCTTAAGCGATCCAGGGCCTGGTCCAGGAAATGCTGCGACCTAATCAACATGATCCCTCCCCGTCTGGAGAGATGACTCTGTTTACTGCTCTTGGAGAGGGCTCAGGTTCAGTTCCCACCACCTACACATGGTTCATAACCATCTCTAACTCCCATGTCATGACGCTCTCCTCTGAACTCCATAGACACCTGGCACACCTACAGTGTGATTCTATAAATCCATGCAGAACACTCATGCACATAAAATTTACCTTTAATTTTTTTAAAAGATAACCTCCCACAGTGTGTCCGGGGGCTTGCCTCCTTGGCCCTGTCAAGTTGACAATATTAACTATAGTGATATTTTATTTATGTTTTATAAATAAAGCTTTCCTGAAGACCAGAAGGTAAAAGTAGACTAGAGGCCAGGCAGTGGTAGTACACACTTTCAATCCCAGGATTTGGGAGACAGAAGCAGATGGATCTCTGTGAGTTCAAGGCCACCCTGGGACACACAAGTTCAATGCAGAAACAGATCCAGGTGGTGGTGGCTCACAGTTTTAATCCCAGCACTAAAGAGGAATATAAACCTGAATGAGACAGAAACTAGTTCCTTTCCAGTCTGAGGATTTCTTAGAGGTAAGAACTCTCCGGTGGCTTGACTACTTTGCTTTTCTGATGTTTGGGTTGAACCCCAATATCTGTCTCTGGGTTTAATTATTCGTGCTACAATTAACCATCACAACTACCAAGCTGGAGGCTGTTGGCTTCTCTGCTCAACCCACCTTTTAGTATTTATTTATTTGTTTGTTTGTTTCGGTCATTCAGGGTGTGTGCATGTTTGTGTGTGTTCATCTGTCTGCTGCTCTCTGAAGCCAGAAGAAGGCATCAGGTGCTCTGGAGCTGGAGCACAAACTGCTGTGATCTACTCAACATGGGTACAAGGAACGGAGTTCAGCTCCTCTCCAAAAACTGCAGGCGCTTTTATCCATGGAGCCTCTCTCCAGGCCACTCTCTTTCTAACGAGTGTATCTTGCTTCCTGGCTGCCTCTAATTAAACTCCTAACTGCCTAGACTATTACTCTACCACATGTGAATTCTTGGGAACACAAAACCAGAAATTGCTGCTGGGGTTGAAACAGAGGAGACTTCCCCATGGTCCTCCTGGGGTCTCGTGGGGGAAGTGACTCGCGGACAGCTGGAGGGCTCTGCCAGCCTGGGCTTCTGTGTGACTCTCCCACACACTATGGCACCTGCTGTTTCCACCCACACTGGGATCACGATTGCTTTGCTGTGGGTGCTCTTGAGACCTGTCAGTCGCTGTACTCCTCCTGCGGGAGCCGGGGGATGTTCCCATGACTCATTCCTTCATGGCATGGCCAGCAGCTCCAGGGCTGCCTTTCCTTACCATAGCATCTGTCTGCCGAGGAGACATACACGGGCTTGTGCAACTTACCTGTTAAGATCCCAGATGTTAAGTGACAACCTCCCTGATTTTCAGTTGCACAACTCTGCTGTGGGTTCTGCTCTTGTTACTATGGCAATAATCACACAGTATCTTTTATTCCTGGAGCACTTGATATGTCCTAGGCTTCATGTTAATGGTTCACTCAGTGCTTGCAGCTGTCCTGTTGTCTAGGTGATAGCTGTTACCGCATAGATGGAAACATGAGATTCAGAGACATCAGGTAACTTGCCCAAGGTCACATGGCTTGTCTCCTAAATTCGCAAGCATCTCTTCTGTCAGGACAGAGATATTCCAGTTCCAGGTCTTTGACCATGAGCATTTACAAGGCCAGAGCTGAAATCCATTTAGAAATCTGTCCATATTGTTGCCTGGTGCTGCTCAGAACTGGTTTGGGGATTCTTTTGTGAGGGCTGCTTTTTAAATTAGTTCATGAAACATGAAGGAATCTGTCCCTTTTTGTGGCCAAGCTGGCTTTTGCCCTTGACCACTTTGCCCTCCTGATGCCCTACAGTGTTTACCAGATTTCAGCACTGATGCCTCATGACACTTTCTAAAAGGGTGATGCCATCCTCTGGGGTCACTGGTGGGGACACTCAGAAGACTCTAGGGCTGAAGATAATTTCTGGCATTTCTGAGCAGGGTCAGAATTTTACAACACAAAGTGTTGGCCCCTGGGTACGGACTTCAAGGGGGACACAGAGCTCTGTAATTGCTTTGTAGCATATTTGTTTACAGTTAAGTCTGTCCCTGTAGATTTGAACCAAGATGGAAAGACAGGGAAACTATGGGGACATGGGAGAGACGAAGAGCCGCTTACCCCAGTCTGGCTGAGCCTCTGACTAACGGGGAAGCATGGATTTCAGCACAATTAACATGGGCTGTGAAAGCTGCTGGCACAGGGATGATATGCCCTTCGTCGATGAGTATTTTATGTTCAGACAGCCATGACCCAGGCTGATGGGCTGAGTGTATATGATGGCAGACAGGGCCTTATTCCTTTCCCCAGACATCACCTGAGAATCTCAAACTGGACTGAACTTTGCCTCAGAAATGTTCAACCTTCCTGCATCCTGGGCAGTGTATCAACTGTAATCTTTGGTCGGCAATCAACCTGTGACCCTATTGAAGTTTCTTAGTAACTGTTTAAAGACAGTAACTTTAAACCCCACAAATCCTATATAAGACAAC